TTCTTAACATGGCTGGATAGAAATGAACTTTGTTATAATAAGAACAATATATTTTATTTCTTACTCCTTACAATATATTTTTTTAGGCAATAGAGATTATGCCAAGGATGATCCTTTGGAGTTTAAGTCCCACCAGTGGTTTGGAGCATCTGTGAGGTCAAAACAGGATAAAATTTTGGTAAGTCTTTTGGATATTTACTTACAGGTGAGTTTAGTCAATTTATTTGGAAATGCAAGATGTTTTGTGTTTTCAAGCTGACAGTAAAATTCAAGGGTGCAGGGCATAATGAGATAAGATAGCTCTGATCAAAGGCCACCTCATTGCAGAAGATCCTCACTCTTATCCTTTTCAGACAGGGCTTCTGGTGCTTTTCACTTTCATTCCTATATTGTTCATTCTTCCTGCCCTTCTTGATAGGGACTATCAGTTTATTTCTATCCAGCTAAATTTAAGCATAGTGTGCCTGCCCCCACGGCTGTAAGTAAAATCTGTGTGTCATCTTTTCCATCTCTATATCTCTAACTCTCAATTCTCCCTAGATCCTTAAATGCATGTTTCTGTACTATTTGATGTTTCCATTTGGGTAGCTAACATATTATTCAAAATGAACATGGCCGGAAGAGAACTCTTACTGCCCTCTTTCAAAGAGCAAAAACCAAAAAATAACTCTTGTCATACAAATCCTCCTCAGTCTTTTAGGAAGTGTGGCTCTCCACCCTGTCTGTCATGAGTCCTGTCAATTCTGCATCCAAAACATATCCCACATCTATCTATAGAGCTCCATCGCCACTATTTCCCCCCTACACCAAGCCACCATCACTACTCCAGGGGCCCAGGCAATAGCTCTTCTCATCTCTCTGCTTCCTCTCTTGCTCTAACTATAATCTGTTCTTTGTGGAGGGACCAGAGTGAACCCCAGAATGATTTATCTTTTGATTAAAATAGTTACATGACTCTCCATCACTCTTTAAATAAACATCAGAAGCTCCTCCTTGTGTATAAGCAGTCCGTGGTCAGGTAGCTGGCCGTCTGGTGCCTTCTCACTCCATCTCACCTGCTTCAGCCGCAGCCGTCTCTTCCACATGCCACATCACTTCAGTTGGCACCTTACTGTCTGGGTTCCATTTGCTCGTATCAGCTGTCTTTGTTGATTTTCACTTAGCTTTCAGCTTTCATTTTATTTCCTCAGAGACGCCTTCCCTATTTTAATTGGTTATCAATACATAGTATTTATTTTTGCCTCCCCCCCGCATCTGATCATGAGGTACTAAGTAAGGCAGGCTTGGTGTAGGAGGTGAAGCGTCTGCAGGTCTGTAAAGGATGTGTTATGTTTTAGCAATTGAAAGTGAAGAGTGGGGTTGAGAGTGGCGGTATTGTAGGCAGAAATGGTAACCAAACAGAAGTAAGCAGAAGGAGCAAATTGTCCCTTCTGGAGCGTAAAGTGAGGGTAGGGAAGTAGCAAGATTACCTATTTTCAGATTTTTAAGGATTGACACAAAACAGCCCAGTGTTGATGTTTGCAGTGCTTATGTTGGCACTTTGCTTCAAAAAGTGTTATAGAAAATCTTTTGAACTTTTTTCTAGTAAATTGTTACGTATTTGGTACATTGCTATGCCTTTAAAACATTGGTTATTCTACTTGTACATGGTATGAAAATCTAGAACTCTGAAAACAAAAAGGTAACAGTTTATTTGTAAAGTAAATAAAATAAGCACTGCAAGTTCTTTTACTTGTTTCTTATTATTTCCTGTATTAGGAGTATATCCTATCTGCATGAATGTTATTTAGCTCAAAAGTTGATTGCTCTGTGGCAATCTGATTAGTATGTAACATCAAGAAATAAGATACCTGACCAGGTACTGTGGCTCATATCTGTAATCCTAGCACTCTGGGAGGTCCAAGTAGGAGGATCACTTGAGCTCAAGAATTCCAGACCAGCCTGAGCAAGAGTAAGACACTGTCTCCATTAAAAATAGAAAAATTAGCCAG